AGGCATTCTGATTGGTCAGAATGATTGGTCAATATCAAGGTCAATGTCAAGGTCAATGTCACTTGCAAGGTTTGAATAAATTATTTTTGCTTGTGATGCGCGCGCTTTTCTTTTGCACAATTATGATAAGCTACCTCGTATTTTTTTTTATGTATACTAGGCCATCCCCCCTTTTTTTTCGTTTATTGTCGAATGTGTTTTCTGATTTTGGGTCGGTCGGTCGGTAAAGAAAAAAAAATTGGAGAAGGAGTCTGGAACTAGGAGGCCCGGTACCTCAGCGTAATATCCGTGGAGCCTGGAAACATCAAGACGTGGTTACAAAGTCAACATGGCGGTAGTGGAGGAAGAAAAAAATCGACGTCGTGGTTAAATAAGTAATAAATTTCTCTTTGTAAAATAAATATGGGCGAATTCTCAGTGTTGAGCAAGGAACAATCGTCGGAAACGTTATTTTAATCATGGTGCTATTGTAGGGCTTTATATGGTATAAACAAGGTGCTGTTGCTCCTAAACGAACATGGGGACCCCTCATTTTTATTTCCAAATTCAAGTTATTACAATATAAATAGTCAACAGGCAAAGTTTGACAAAAATCTCAGCGCAGGTTCTATTTCAGTGGAATGACCTTAAATGTTTTCCAATCACATGGACAGAAAGTCTCTCTCGCCGGAAAATGAGTGCTCTCTGTAGTTTAAGTCGAACTAAAAATCTGTATGGTAAACAATTGCTTATGCTTGAGATTAAAGTGACATTTTTTTGAAATAAGGTGTCATTGCCCTCTACAAATATAACTTTATTTTTTCGAAAACACAAAAATCTGCGTCGGTCAGACGACGCTAAACATAAAAAAGAAGGGGATGGCCTTATTAATTTAAAATCACACGCCGTACGGGCTCGTGCAATTTTGTTACTCTTTGAAAAAATTTACCTGTACTTATTTATTCCAAATTGCACTCGAAATCATGTAATTACCTATACAAAAAGGGAAGAACACACACACATAAAACAACAAGAACAAAAGCAGGAACTCGTACCATTTTCGCAATATTCGCCCTCGAATCCAGCAGGGCACGAACATCGATATCCCTTGAATGTGAAACCAGACTGACAGGCTGCGTTATTTTGGCACAGAGAATTTTTGCCGCAGGCGTTCTGAAGAAGAAGTCAGAGATTTTTAAAAGTAAAACAAATGAACGAAAGAGAAAGGGCGACGGTAACGACGTGCCAAAACAAAAGATCTAATTACCAGAACAATAGCTCCGCACGTGTATTTTAAAACTTGGTACAATTCTTAGCCGTCCTCTGCAGAACAAACAAGTGAAATCACCAAAATTTACGTGGTCTGAAAATGTAAACCCCGACATGAAATCATGAGTCAAGTTTCCATTTAGAACCCAAAGCTGCTCATACAGTATCCGTAATGCTAATGTTGAGGCGTTGCACCATAAGAAACGACAAACACATAGCCATTCGCGGAAGTCTGAATGAAAATATAAATTCAATTTTTAATTGACGTCTTCCTCGGTGTTGCTGTCCAGGGCTCATTTGTTCGAAGGTCGGATAACACGACAACGCTATATGTTTTGCTATCACTTATTCACTGGTTAACAATTTATCCGTCGGAAGCGATTTATCCGTTGAATAGCGTTATCCGCCATTTTTACGACTGGGCCCAGCTCACTGCTGAAGGTCCGTAGTTATTCATTCCCACTAGTGAAGTAAATTTGATTTGCACCCACCTTCGAACCACGGTAGTAGAAAACGTTGTCGGTAACTAGGTCTCTCTCGTGCTCTAGATGAGTGGCGTTGTTCAGTTCACAGACATAAGCTATTCCACCTTTCTCCGGATATTTTTTGAAGTTAGCACTGACACAGTTGTCGTGCAAGTAGCACAAAAGCTCACAATCATCAAAGTTCTTGACGTGTTTTGTTCCGATCGTATGATTTACCAAACGTCTTTCAGAAAAGAAATAGTAATCTGGAAACAACATTGTGCGATCTCTCTCTAAAAATAAAAAAACAAACAATTCAATCACCGAGGTGGAGGTGGCAAGTGGTGGATATTAACGAGCTGCGAAAAAGGATGATTTTAACTCATTTATTCCTGCAAATATTGCAATATTTTTGGGCGCAAGTTGCTCGGAGGTGAATAGTAAAGGATATTCGGAGTTTGAGTGGCGAATCAGAGCGCGCCTTCAAGGCCATCCACTGTTTTAGAATACACTAAAGTAAGATATCTTCTTTCCCCTGTCACGAGCGTTGGACAAAGAAAGGAGGATAAATTTAAGATTGAAAATGATTTGCAGTTTGCAACTCACCGATACCAAATGTCCAATAAGTCATCACTACAGTCGAAGCTAACAACATGAAAAGCGCACCAAACTCCATTCTTTACCGAAAGCGACTGAATTTCTATATTGATATCTCAGATATACCACAAATATTGCATGAGTTGACTGTTATCACCTACGGATGGATTAAAAGACTCTAAAGTTAGCAGGTGTCTGTGACGAACCAATAACAGCATTGACAAAATATCTTCTCATTTCTTTGTGGACATACTTGATACACATAGCGCATTACTAATTTAAAACTTCCTGTTTTAATTATGCAAGTGAGCATAAAAGGTCAGTACAATCCTTTCGTCATTCTGTTTGATAGATTGGAAAATTTAGGGTTGTGAGAACCGTAATCGATTTGAACTGACAGATAAAACGCAAGAAATCTTTGTTTCTCAATTTTTCTTGTTGTGAAATTTAATTTCAATATAATGTCGTCAAATATATTTTCAACGCATTACGGCAGCTGTGTAAATAAGTCCGAGAGAAAAGCTTATGAAGGACAGGTGAAAATATTCTGTGAGAAATCGTTTCTAAAAATTATGAAGGCTTTACTTATGTACATCCAACACTTATCATCCTCGAAAAACACTTGTCATTTTTAGAAGGAAACATCACCAAAATTTCCTTATAAGAAAAGGCATTTTTCACAAAATTGAAGTTGGTTATCATTAATTTGTTTTTAGCATTACCATCTTTTCGTTAGTATTTAAGACCATCAGTTTAAAATTGCTGAACAATTCCAAGGACTGTAATTAATTTTGATATTTTTTTGAGGGCTGAACTTGTTAACAAAAGCAATCCAAAGTGTTTTGTTCATATATAGGTTATTTAATTAACCAACAGAAAAATATTCATCACATCTCTTTGTAAATAAAGTTTTTAAACAAACGATAAAAATATGTACTAATAATCGTAGCGTAAAGAATGACAATTATCAAAAATATTTATCGATTTTTGACGACCTCCTACATTAGAAGTTACATGGTTAAGTCCTTTGCTGATCAGAAGTTGTTTACCCAACGAGACTTACTTTCGAAAAACTTTTTAAAAATTTACCTATTCTGTCTTGACGCTTGTTTACTTCAATTTCAAAACGTGCATATTAAAAAAAACTTGTTTATTTTTCATGATTTTCATTACTTCAACCAAGCTTCAACTCGTAGCTCATAAGCGAAGAGACAACTTATTTTTGCCCACGAGTCTGTTCTCCGTTCGAAGGTACATTTATGGTGGGTGGATGGGACTCCGCACGAAACAAAAGACTGGCACACCATTGATACCAGTGTTATAATTATTTCGCTGAAAATATCAACATCATTCAATAAAACAAAATGATTCCTCATTATTTCATGTGGACTACGAGCCGTTCCTCCTTCTTGGAACAAGTTCGTCGTACGAACGCGCGGAACTCTGGGAGTGAGTTGCACGGCGTGACTTATACCTTTAGAGTACTATGCGTCCCACTAACATCAATTTAAAGGGTTTTTTTTTTGTTGTTGTTGACTCTTGAGACGGACTGCGTCGAAAACGAGGAACTACTTGTGGTAAAAAAATTCAACGTAATATAATAAGACAAACAACGATCGAAGGACAAGGGAATCACTCGTGACTTCATTCAGCAATTCTACTGACCCCAAGTGTGTACTACATTACACACTGGAAGACCCTTTTTCACAATGGCGGATGAACATTGAAACTTTTCAAAATTCAACTTCAGAAGAAATTCGGACCACCTGTAAGAAAGTATTTTTTAGTTGACAGTCTCCCAAAGTTTCACTTGGCGAAGTGCTGTTTCAATCGAGGATTTAAAAACAGCACAGCATTTGTGTGATAGAAGACGCCATGTTATGTACACCAACCATAAAAACTAGGGAAATAAACCACAAGGGGTTACCCAATATACTTGGTTACAAAAGACACATCTTTCAGTTAATTTATTTTGAATCATTTTCTTTGTTCCAATAGCGATCATTTTTTCTTGATGATAAATTTTAAAAATTGGTCGCCATTTTAGACTAGCGTCTTCCATACCACTCTCACTTTGGACTTGGGACCCATCTCACGAAGGTGCTAGTTGCAATCTCTTTATAGAGACCACCTCTTTCTTCGAGCGAAGTGGTGTCAAGTTAGCTGCCCTCTTTTGTCCTGATAAGCGACTTTCGTTCGCCGGTCATATGATAAAATGCTTAATGACTGAGTGGGAGGGGCGGACGGGAAAATAATTCGCTCGAGCTCATGACGTGCGGACCGAGCGTGGCGAGGCCATACGTCATAAACAAGAGCCAAATATTTTCCCGTCCAGCCCGAACAAACTCAGTCAATAAGCACTTTATCATATGACCGCGAACTTTTGCGAAATTCTTAAAAGTTCGTTTAAACTTAAATAGAATGCAATAGATTGGCGCTGACAGGAAAACCACAGTAAAGATTCTGCAACAACAGCGAACAATGTCGCCGTACAAGCGCACCAGGGCCGGACGGCTTTTCCGGGACCGGCCCTACACACGTCAACTTTTACTGTGGTTTTCTGTGGGATTGCGCGAGCGAGGCCGGACGGGTCATGCGATAAACTCAATTACTAATTTAACATTTTTAAGTATAGGAAACTAACCTCGGTGTAAGCATTTCATCTTGAGTTTAATCAAATTGAATAACTAAGAATTCGACAAAAACTTTACAAGAGATCCACAATACTTTTAAAAAAAAATTCAGTGTTAAAAATAAAGTATCAATACAATCCTTATTTTATATTGTTGGTTCTTTTCTTCACCAGTTTGCTAACCCTCAAACTCTAAAGAATATAACTAACTTCTAATGGTCCATTTTATAGTTGTGGGCTTGGTGGCCAAGCCTTTGAACAGGAGTGAAGCTAAGGGTAACCCTGTTGTGATAGAGACCTGTACCTAGTTAGCATGATAACAAAGAAATTTGCATTTGAAAAGCAGCAGCATCTCTATCATTACAAGGTCAACCTTAGCCTCACTCCTGTCCAAAAGCTTGGCCACCAAGCCCACAACTGTAAAAAGGACTATTTCTCCTGACAATATCACCCTTGAAAACAAATATCAAGGTCCTGAGAAGAGAGGAAAAGATCACCAGTTAAGGAAACTCCTGATTGTCAAACAAATTCTCCCTGTCTGTCCCATAGAAAATGTCACAAAAACAGTGTGGAGAATTTGAATACAAATATAAGGGTGTAAAGCGTTAATCTAAAATGTTTTCCTGACGTGAACCACCGTTCAACTAACGTCAGTTTTAAGAAGTAGTTTGATCAACAGGAGGACAGACATGTATACAGTCATTAGCAATTCCGAACCATATACAGCAGAGTAAGCACTAATATATACAGTATCTTCGGGCTACAAATGACTAAAAGAAGCGTGAAATAGTAAGCGACAATATCGAAAATATTATGAGAAGCTAAAATGTTTGCAGTTTAAGAACCCGATCGCTAATTTGCTTCGGTTGACTTTGGTGGCCAATTTAAGTATTGCCTCTCCTTTTGGAAAGGACGCTGTTCATTTCAAGCCACGCACGCGCACAGCACTTGACACGTTTCCTTGACATCTTGCTGGCATTCACTTGTGTCAGCGGGTGGAGGAGAAACTCGGTAACAGGTAAGCATCTTGCACCAAACACAACCCAAAGTACTGGTCACGACTCGAACCCAAACCTCTCGCTTTGCAGTCTGCCAGCAAGCCACTGCCTCTCCCATTACTTAATACACTCATTTGCGTGATCAAGGGTTACAGCATTTAGTGCAAAATCAAAGGAACTTGTGCAAAATTACGAGCTTGCACCCCATTGAGAGCAAAACGCAACGATGGGTTTTTTTTTTTCGGTAAATGAGTAATCAAAAATCGAAAAATCAATCGCTACGCGATAACCTTTCATTACTGTCGCATAGGATTCACCTGACCACCTCTTTTGTCAATATTGGGCCTTACAAGCCCTTTTTATATGATCACCACTTCGTGTGGTTATAATAAAATGTATACAACTTCATTTGACAGAAAAATAAAACGCGTGTTAAGTTAAATATAAATAATTTGCCTCTTTTTTTTTTTTTTTGTCCATTTGATGCTACGTCTTGATTTTCCAAACCTGAAAAGAAAGTGAAAATGTGAAATAAAAGACGACTTCTCTCCAAGTTAACATGAGCATTTAACAAGAGATCGCTTCTTGTGAAGCACGCGAGGGGTTCGCGCACGATGACGAGACATCCACGCAGGCATTGACACCTTACGATCACGTGGACTTCATACGTCACAATACTCGAGGTATTGATAGTTTCACAGGTTTGACCTGACGGAATGAACACTAGCAAAAATGTTTTACTGACAAAGAAGTAGAGAAACACCAAAGGGGCGAGAACAAATGAAAGCAGAAAAAGGATAGCTAACGACGGAGAATTTGGAAAACGATGGCAAATTGCCGAACTTGAAGACTTAGGGTGGAATAGTGGTTTACAACGGTTTCATCATTGCTGATTTTCCTGTGAGGTGACCTTGAAAATATCAACAGTAGGATCACGAGGATGAAATGGCCTTGAACTACAAAAGCTTATGAATGGTTTTAAACAAATTCTTCTTGTCAGTACCACTGGAAATGTCTGGAGAACAACTACTGGAGAATTTAGGATGTAAAGGGGTTGATGCCTCTTCGAGAGGTCCTTTAATTATCTTTGTGTGCCTATCGATAACGAAGTACTCTCAAAAATAGATACAAAAATTTTTGCTAAGTTCAAATAAAAGTCCTATGATCATGGCTTTTTGAAGAGTGCAGGGGATAGGAGAAGTCGAAAGATTCAAGGTCAAAATGGTGAAAAGCAAAGACTCAAAACCAGTTAAATAAACAAACAAAAAACAGGAAGAATCAGTTCTTTATCTCTAACCTTTAGTCTAAAGCCTAGAAGATCCGACATCACTCCAGAGAACAGGGAGAGCACGACAACCCTGGTGATGTTATAAAGTAACGGGTTCATGGATAAACCTGACATCTTGAATGGGCTCTCAATTTCCTGACAAGCAGAGGAAACAACTGTTAGTGTTGTTTGTAGTAGAGCTTCTCAACAAGATCAAAGGCAATATAGTAAGATTTGCATTCAGCACATACTCGCGAAACCTTCGCTAATGCCGATTTGCTGGAAGTGTGGTCAATCGAGGAAAGTTTTTCAATGTCAAACCCCAAACAGAATTGCGCGAAAAATCAGCAAACCAGTCTGGCTTTTTTAGGTGGATAGAACATCGCTGAGCCTTAGTCATACCTGGCCGGCCAGAAAGGTCAAGTTTAAAAATAATAAGCATTTTTCTAAAGTTTTCTACAGCTTTCAAACAGATTGCACAATTAATGGATAAAACTTAGAAGTGGATGGATCTGGTAGGGCAATTCTAATTACTTAGGAATTCTCTACAGCAATCGACCTGAACTCCGTGAATATCAGTGCGCACACGTCGTTCCCGAAATAAAAGATTCAAAACTTTAACCACACAGAAACTATGATCGTATGAAACTGAAACTCTCATTTCTCTTCACGAACAACGCTTGATACAGGTTCCTAACACATTCCCTCTGTCTCTCTCAGTACAAAAGAAACAAAACATAACAAAACATTACCTTGAGTAGTTTCGAGGCCAGCTGAAGCACGTGGTTAGCTATTGTCAGGTCGTCTTTTTTATGAGGGGCTTTTTCCATTTGAAGGTAAAGATTGATCTAAAGTGAACACACACACAGAAAAAAAAAAAAAAAATAGACATATTATGCTTAGCAATTGCTCACCGAAGTGAAGCTAAATAACCAGCACCTTCACCGATACGGAGGTGTAAACCACACAGGCGGAAAAAAAAAATAACAGGGACAATGAGCCGACAGATGATCACTCGCTTTTCACTAAAATGTATGACGTACACTTATTGGTGAAACTGAGACATAATACTGGGGCAGAAAACTCGGACGTATCTTGAGCCACAAGGACTCAAACGTTGAATTTGTTAAATCACTGTTCATCATTTACTCACTTGCTCTGTTAGTAATCCTGAAGTGTTCGTGAATTTACTGTTGATCTTGGATCCTAGCGTCATGAACCGCAGTACATAGACCGACAACACAAGGCACCTGAAGGCAAAACAAATGGACACGCATGTATAAACAGGACTGCGCAATTCGATGATTAATAAGGTAGCTGTAAAGGTGTCTCTGAGGATTTACTCGAAGCTTTCTGGGTCAGACGGATTGACTGACCAACTAATTGACGAACTGACGGACTGGTTGGCTGGCTGGCTGCCGACTGACTGACTGATTGATTGACTGACTGATTGATTGACTGACTGATTGACCGTCACTAATTAATTAGCTGACTAACTGATTGACTGACTGATTGATTGACTGTCACTGATTAATTTCCTGACTAATTGATTGACTGACTGACTGACTGATTGACTGACTGACTGATTGACTGACTGACTGATTGTTTGATTTATTGATTGATTGACTGGCTGACTGATTGACTAATGGGTTGATTGACTAACTGAGTGATTGACTGACTGATTGATTGACTGACTGACTGGTTAATTAACTGGCTGACTAATTTATTAACTAGTTGATTGACTGATTGACCGACTCATTTGACTAATTGTTTCATTGCCTGAATGACTGACTTATTGACTGATTGGCAGCTACCTCTTCATCACTTACCATATTGACACTTCCCAGTTAAATAATATGGACAGGAATCTCTCTTTTTCATTTCCCTTGATAAGCTGCAAAGAGACAAGAATTTGAAATGAAGTTTTGACGAGAACAAAACCGAATTTTAGCGAACATTAAGTGCATCTAACTTTAAAATTTCGACATTAATTTCAAAACAGAGAGCATGTGGCTCTGACTCACCTGAACACACATGAGGATCACTAGAACCATGCCAAGTATAAAAGAGGACGATACAATCATGTCTACTGATCTCTGAGGTCCTCGTCTCTAAATTCAAAGAACATTAGAACGATCAGTGTAAGGCTGGGAAGGTTACAGGACAGCGTCTTCTGTACAGAAAAACGGTACGGAAGGAGGTACGACGAGGGGGGGAGGGGAGGGGGAAGGTCGTTTCGTACCTAAATGCAATCGATTCGTGCCCAGGTTTGAGTCAGTTCGTACAGAGGTTTGAGTCGGTTCGTATCAACTGACTCGACTAGCTGGGTACCAAACGATCTATCTGGATATGAAACGACCGGTAACCGGATGGGGGAGAAGAAAGGAAGTTGGGAAGAAGTAGATGGAAGCAAGGGCGTCTTTCCTTCTCAACGCTACAGCCTTGTCTTGTTTAGCTTAAAGCAGATGGTAGGTTAAAAAAATAATAGTAATGATAATAACCAAGTGAAATCAAAGGGAGAAAAAAGAGAAAAAGAAGCTCATCTGCAGATGAACGAGGGCAAGAAACATAGCCAGTCTCGTACTCTATGTCGTTCCTAAACATTCAAACGATATGCCACGAGATTAGAAAAGAGGGCCTGCACGTCACAAGTTGGGGCTAGGTTACAAAGCAAGATTAAAAATGACGGCGTCTGCAGTCGAAGTTTCAGCACATTTGAGGATAAATTTCGAAAGGTTTGATTTCTCTCAAGCTAACCTTTAACAGAGATCAGTGCGAGCTAACCTTTAACAGAGATCAGTGCGAGCTAACCTTTAACAGAGATCAGTGCGAGCTAACCTTTAACAGAGATCAGTGCGAGCTAACCTTTAACAGAGATCAGTGCGAGCTAACCTTTAACAGAGATCAGTGCGAGCTAACCTTTAACAGAGATCAGTGCGAGCTAACCTTTAACAGAGATCAGTGCGAGCTAACCTTTAACAGAGATCAGTGCGAGCTAACCTTTAACAGAGATCAGTGCGAGCTAACCTTTAACAGAGATCAGTGCGAGCTAACCTTTAACAGAGATCAGTGCGAGCTAACCTTTAACAGAGATCAGTGCGAGCTAACCTTTAACAGAGATCTGAGCGACAACCAGGTCTTTATATTCCGTACTTTGTGGAGACGAAAGTGAGGGAGCCCTGCTCGGCGAGACTTTCGCGACGACGTGAGCCAACCAAATAACTTTGCGTACAGACATCGCTGAAATAAATACACGGAACAACAGTGTCAGAATGAGATATCAATAGAGTTTTTTTTGGAGAAACGTAATCGAATACAGATCACAACTTCCACCCGGTAAGTTTGAGTATTTTCATTACCTGTTTTCTGGATAATGTGAAGACATTACAGAAAGCAGTTCCATGTTAATCACTTCGGGGAGTTAAAGGGTTTATGATACTTTCAGGGAAACAGGAAAAGGAATAGAAATTTTCAATATTGAGAATCTTTCACAGAGTGCACTACTTGCTCACCTCTCTATAGGATTTTTCTGCCACACACAGCAGGAAGAAAAACGAGAAACTCAGAAAGAACCTCTCCTGCATGCTAATAACAACAATGACACGTGACCTTGGAAGACATTAAGGAAGAAAAAATATTGAGAAAGGTTAGTACTGAGGGAAGTTAAAATATTTGTTGCATAAAAAGTAGAACACACATAAAGACTATAAATACATACCATAATGAATATCCGAACATTTTACACAAGAGATCTTCACTATTGCTTAACAAAAGATCTCCTATATTTCCCTTCAACCAAAGAGAAAGACAATTAATTGCATGCAGTAATCAACAGCAGTATAGTTTCACACAGTTTGTTTTACAAATAAATAGAAAAATAAATAAGTAAATAAACGGTTTGATAAACGCAAAAGGAAATGGCTCCTGACTGACATGAAGACGGCTGAATGCCTGGCTGACTGGATTGTCCCGCTGCCTGACTGAGATATACACTATTTTAGTTTTATCAATTGAGTCGATAATATATTGGCCACCGTAAAGAGTTTAAAAGCTGACGTTTCGAACGTCAGCCCTTCGTCAGAGCGACGAGAAAGACTGTCTGCTTTACTGACTGATTGACCGTTGGAGAGGCTGGCTCACTGAACAAGAAACTGACTGATTGACGGAATAACTGACTGACGGACTAACTGACTGACGGACTAACTGATTGGTTGACTTAGTGTAACTCACTAGATTTAGTGACTCTCTAGCTAATTGAGTGTTCGACCAACCAACTGACACACTAGCCGAAAGTCCGAAAAGCTGACTGAACAACTTCCAATCTGACTCACTGGTCCTCAGTCAACCTACAGTACTCACGAGTCGAATAAATAAAGAGGGTAAGTTTATAAAGAAACTATGGTGCTGCGTCGGTGGGGGTAACAAGGTCATTTTGGTTTTATCAACTGAGCTGATAATGTTAATTGGCCACCGTAGCTTCAAAGCTGACGTTTCGAGCATTAACCCTCTGCCATTCGCTCTAACTCAATTGATAAAACCAGAACTACTCAGTAGTCTATCTTGCTAACCACACTAGAAATGAATAACCCCAAAACATGTATCCATATTTCATTATTTTATACCTCGGGAAGAAATGAAAGTTAAGCAGGCACAGTACATCAGGTAGACAGAGTAACAGTTAACTAGTGTAATAATATATGACGGTAGACTTACTGTTGTGTTATAGAGACGAAAAAGTAGAGGAATAAATGCCAGAGTCACAGAGACAACAACAGAAAACTGCACATATCCCGTGTGGCTTTTATGAGAGTCCTGAAATGGAGAGAAAAAGAAAAGTATGGTTTCTATTATCAATAAAGTCTTTTGATGACCGTGAATGCTTGATTCTGCTAGAGCATCATGCAGATGTTAAGCTGCCAAATTCCCCCTAACAGCATTTTGTCAAGGGAACAGCAACTAGAAGATACAAACTATACATCCAAATGCCCAGCCATATTTAAAGACGTTTGGAAGAGATTGACACAAGTGTTTTCCCATTTAATCGTTATGGCTTTTAAATACACTCTTTTCTTTATAAGAAATTTCTTATAAGAACGTTCAGGCTGAGATTAACCAAAATTTAAAGAACATACCAAGAACATACCCAGGCTGAGAGTCAGTACGACTCATATTTTTTTTATTTTGGTGAGAAGTAAAAATAAAACTCAAGGTAAAAAAAATGTAAAACTGGGGTCTAACAGTTAACAAATACTTGAGGACATTTTCTAACATTAAAAATGCCGTTATTGCGTGATACACAACTACAACTCAGTTTGTAGTCGAACTTAGTCTGATCCCGTCTGAATTGATTAATTACCACACAACTTTAAGAACATTTTAAGAACGTTTTCAAGCTCAAAACAGAAAAAAATTAAGTACGCTCAGCCTTAGCACCAACATTTAACATTGTAATAAAATAAGAGACTGGGAATTTGTAACAATTCAATAATTGTAACAGCTGTCATCACATGATAGCAAATGAAAAAATCAAATGTAACAAGAGAAAAATCTAACTTACCACTTTATTTGCAATGGCAGCACTAATCTCCATGAGTGTCAACTGAGCTTTTTTGCACTGATTTCCTTCCCAAATAGAAACCATAACTACAAAAAATGACAAGATTCACCCTTTACACCTCTAACATCAGCATGCATATTCTCCACACTGTTATCTAAACATTTCCTGAGGTGCTGACAAGGAGAATTTGTTTAACAATCAAGAGCTTTTTTAGTCGGTGATCATTTTCTTTATTCTCCTGACCTTAATGTGTGATTCAGGGCTGATATTGTAAGGAGAAATTAGATGCTGGTCACTGTTAGGGGTTTAAAAGGTGAAATCAATTGTTTACCACAGGTAAAATTACATAAAAGTACACAAAGTTCATTTGCTCTGACGAAGGGCTTACGCTGGAAACATAATCAGCTTTGAAACTCCTTACAATGGCCAGTTTATAATATTATTATCAACTCGTTGATCAAACCCAAATTACATTGTTACTCCCATCGACACAGAACCATAGTTTCTTCAGAGACTTACCCCCTCTCTACTTAAAAGTACAGTAAGGATGTGCAATGCAACACTAAAAATGAAATTATCATGAAAAAAGGTGACTAAATCACAAGGATACAAAACTGTTAGCAAATTTCGGGCAATATGGCTTAACACACAGCCACAGGAAAGGAAGGGTTGATACCGGTGCCAAATATTCCATACCCCAGTGTTTCTTGTGGCTGGGTTTACAACACTCAACAGTCCTTTTTACAGTTGTGGGCTTGGTGGCCAAGCCTTTGAACAGGAGTGAGGCTAAGGGTGACCTTGTTATGATAGAGATGTTGCCGCTATTCAATTGCAAATTTCTTTGATGTAATGCTAACTAGATACAGGTCTCTATCACAACAGGGTCACCCTTAGCCTCACTCCTGTTTAAAGGCTTGGCCACCAAGCCCACAACTGTAAAAAGGACCATTGAAGAGTGAGTGCTTTGGTGGCTATAGCATAAGCAAAAAGGTACAGCACTTACCTTTCTCTGCAGTGGGAGGAGGGGTTGGGCTGGTTTGCATTCCTGGAGATCCATTACCCTTTGATAAATATAATATTCTTATTACATTTGTATATATCATAATATATTAGTAATACCAAAAACAGTGGATATCATTGAGGGTGCCCTCTGATTGGCTACTCAGACTCTGAATATCCTTTGCTATTCACCTCTGAGCAACATGCACAGGATTTGCACCCAAAATTATCGTAAATGTTGTAAGAATAAATGAATTTAAATCATCTTTCAGGGCTATATTATCTCACTCTTCACCTCAGTATTGGTGGCACGCCTCACTTCCACTAGCCACCTCCACTTTAGTTTTAGTTTTTATATATATTTATATCATAGTACATTGCAGCCCTGCAAGAACATTCCAATTTTAGGAAGTGGGTCCACAGTGTAGATGAACACAGATCTTTAATAACTGAATTAATTTTTTGCTGGGGGCAATACCTCTTGACTCGAGCTGAAGGCATTTCCAATAAAGAAACATCTACCTAAATGAAAATCAAGTATTTCTCAGACACTCAGTTTGCAGTTTAAGACTCTTGCTGAAGGTATTTATACAAAAAGAACTTTCCAGCCAAGAATAAAATTAACTACTTCAAATAAAAATTGAAATTGTGAAAATTTCTAAAAACCTGTTTATCCCAAGCAAAAGGATCCTCGCTATAGCTGTCCATCTCTACATCGGACACATCACTTTCTGTTGTTGAGGACGTGGTCTCACTGCTCTCACTGAGCTCTTCTTCTGTTTTGTCATTGTCATTGTCTTTGGAGTTGTAATGATTTCCATTATCGACAGTTTCTATGTTATCCTTGACAGCTACGTCTGGGAAAAAAATTAAAAAAAAATTTTCACTTCACTCTGCCTTGTAACAACATGTTTCTTTGTTACAAAAAAATAACTGTCACCATTCTCTCTCCCTCTGTGCTCTGTGTTTGATCTTAAAAATGTACATAAATGTGTGAGTAGGGAGTTCAAACTTGACACAAGATCTAACTAGTTGGCCGGCGACATTTTAATCTGTAATCAAGCCTCTGCAAATACATCTTGTTCAGATTTTTAACCAATAATGGCACATGATAAAATCATGTGACTTACTGTTACAAAATAATGAATATCATATGTCTTATATATCATATACCAGCTGACAAGTTTGTTGATTTCCTCTGTCTTATTCCATTTGTAACAAGGCCATCATCATTTTCTTGTGCACTACCCTTTCTCTTCTGTCTGGCAACTCTTCGTCTAAATGTAAATTCAACAAATTGACAGTGCTTTAGCATGGTCTGTACTCTTATTTACAAACTGAGGGCTCCAAAGTGTGGGGGTTCCACTGCAGTTATTCTAACAAATTAATATTTCAATACCTCCTACTGATACTTTTAGCTTTCCTTCTTTGAGATGAGCTTGAGTAGTCTGTTGACACCATGTACGTGTAGAGCACACCCAGCAGAACCATGATCTACCAAAAAACAATTTGGTCATTTAAATGTAGTACAATTGATTGCATCAGCTACTTTTTCACACTTTTAGTAAAGAACTTGTTCTGTTGGCCTATCACACTTAATTGTTTGGACAACAATTAACAAATGGTAAACACCACAGTGTATACTATTGAGTTATGGATGCATGCGGGAGGTTGCTAAGCACGAAAGAAGCCTAAGAGTCGCTCTCGGCTATCGCCTCGAGCGACTCTAGCTTCTTGGGTGCTTAGCAAACCTGCCAAGTGCATCCATAACTCAATAGTGTACGCTGGGGTGTTTACCATTTGTTTTATAACTTAACATTGATACATTGTAGCGAAAGAGTTCCCTTTTATTTAACAAATCTTACGTGACCAGAAAAAACAAGTGCACACGGAAAATAGTCTTTGCATTTGCCCACGTCAGCAGCGTACACCCCATGGGCAAATGGGGGACGCTAAATTGACCAATCAGAGCGCACACTTTACTTTAGTTATGTTATAAAACTTTTTAATTTTTCCTGTCCAGTTGTTCAATATTGTTTTCAGGTTAAAGCGCCACACTCTTCCAACCCATGTAAACAAATAGAGCTGTGTGAGGTGAATCACCTAATTATTTCATATGTCAGTGGACAGTGGCACACCACCGTTAAAATTTCTGCCTTGTTTGATGACTGCAAATGTGCCATTACTGAACACCATCAACAAAAGCAAAAACCTTCTCAAGTGGGCAGGCGAATGCAAAACCTTCACTCAAATGGACCAGAAAACTTTGAAATTATTCTGTCAAAACATTGAACTGCAATAGGCAACAGAACATGTTTTCATAGATCATGTACATGGAAGGGTAGAAGCAAATACAGCAAATCATAACTTAAAATAAAGGAAAATAAATTTAACTTGTTTTGAAAAATTACTATGTAAGGATAAACTTGAACAACAAATACCATAATTTCTGGCCGTTTACCCACGGGTAATCTGTTGATTTGGCCTTAAACACGCGCCACTGCGGGTAATAGGGAGGTGCGGGTTATGTGACAATTTTGAAATCTACTGGCCGTTGAATTGAAGAAAATTCTCACCTACCTATGTTTTCACCTCTCAGATGAATTTTATTGCATTAAGAGTGCCACAAAGCGGCACGAAAACATGATGCCGACTCGAGTTTATTTCACGCACAATTAGTTGTGTGACGAACAAATTACTATCAGCATGCGTGTAAACAAAACCTTGATGGTGACAAAAATAAACTGAGGAAAACCGGCACATCAGTAACAAATTTCCAGTTAACACTAGCTTCAGCTGAGGAGAATTTTCCCGTTTTAAGGGATTTGTTAGGCCCAGAAGAACCAGAGATATTGATTTTTTTGAGAAATCGACATGGCGCTGAACGATCGTTCGCACAAAATGTGGCCATGAATTCACATTCTGTCAAGTATGCGACGTTGTGAATTGTAGAGCACATTTGTACAAATTTCCTTTGTTTTTAAGGTGCGGGTTATCCACCAGCACGGGAATCTGTTGACTTTTTTTTTTCGCTGCATGCAATAATCAGCTGGTGCAGGTAATCGGCCGTGCGGGTAAATGGCCGGAAATTACGGCAATTAACAATAAGAGGATTTGGCAATAACAAATTAAAGAGTATTGAATTAAAAAAAAAAAAACTCTCCCATAAATTTATTGGTCTATGCATGATGTAATTATAGTCATGACCTCATATAAACAATCATTGTTACAGTAGCCCTTGCTATCTACATGTACTGGTCCGTTAAATGAAATCTAACAAATAAATCAAGAATGGTGTGATTATAAATGCTAGGTTGGCTGTTATCCAATGGAACAAAGCTTCCTACCAGAGCTGGTCCACATGCTTCTGACCAAGTGACAACCTAGCACAAAAAATGATTTGGACTATGAGGTAAAGAGGCAGTTCTCGAGACTTCCTTAATAATTAAATGTAATCTGAATTCAGAATCTTTACAACTTCCACAGGTAATTTCTTTTGGACTTAAAGTCCTCACAAGTAACCATATTAACAAAAGTGCCCAATTAAAGCAAGTTACACAGCCATGCAACAAAAGGGCTCAATTTTAGTGAGAAGCATACGACAAAAATTTAAATTTTAGTGAGAAGCATACGACAAAAATTTAAACAGGATATTCCTCACAGGTGGGCTTAAATTTAAATAAGGAATTGCAGAAAAAGAGCCTAAAAAAAAAAAAAGCTCAGGCTTCAATCAGATTTAAACCTACACCCCAGGTACTAGCTAGCTAACAAATTCAGGTGCCAATGACTAGTAGATTTATGCATGATTGAATGATCATGTTATCCAATCTCTGTCTCTTCGAATGACAGTCACACATCAGAAATCTCAAGGACATTATCTTTTAGAATTTCTCAGTACTCACATACCTTCCAGTGTGATTCCCATTTTCTTAGATAAACAAACAGCACCAGAACTTCACATAAATAAAGGAAAAAAAACAGACACCATAGCTTGGGGGATAACTGTTGCATCCACCTAGAAAAACAAAAACTCAGTTATTAACCCTATACACCCTCACATCAATATGCATATTCTCCATACTGTTCTCTACACTTTTTCAAAGGTACTGACAAGGAGAATTTGTTATACAATTGAGAGCTTCTTGAGTAGGTTTTCATTTCCTGTGATCTTATAACCTGAATTTTTGATTCTGAAGAGATAATGTCTAGAGAAAATAGATGCCAGTCGCTCTTTGGAGTTCACCCTTTCACTCCCACCAGTGACCAAGACAGAATTTCTCCTTACTGAATCAATACAATATCAAGCAGACCACTGACGAGAATAAAGAAAACTATCAATGAGGGGATTATTGGTGGATCAATGCTAAATTCTCCAAATGGACATCATAAGAATAGTTTAGCAGACAGTAAGGAGAATTCTGAATGAGATTTTGAAGGGTTAATGGTTTGTAGGATGCCTCTACTGCTGACAGGGCTTGACAGTAACGGTAGCCCACTGGCCACAGACTAGTAGAAATTCAGTTTTGGCTGGTGGCTTTCGGTTTCCACCAGCCAGTTTGGCCAGTAAACAAACTGACATTGTCATAGCATCTAAGATGTCACCAGCCACTTGGCTAATAAGTTGAAAAGTTAGTGTCAAGCCCTTGCTAAAATACGAATAAAGGCTGATAGTTTCGAAAGAAACTGTTTGGGGCTGCGTCGGTGGGAGTAACGAAATAATATGGATATATCAACAAAGTTGAAATGGTAAATTAGCCATTTCAACTTTGTTGATATATCCATATTACCTTGCTAAAATAGGTTACCAATAACCCTTACACTCCCAGAAGGGATTAGCATGTAACTTCTCCTGCACATTTTCCATACGTTACCCAGAAAACAGGTAATGAGAATATTCAGAGGCATCAGGTAGAAGTTGCAATCTTGATCTGACAGCAAATTCTCGGAACTAATTTACAAGGAAATGTGTGGCAGCTAGAGGGGAGAATTCACAATCAGATTGTGGGAGTTAGGGGGTTGAGCTAACAAAAATACCCCCTTAAAATAAGTTCTTTCAGTGCAAATGAGAAACAACCACCAAAATGCACAAAAAAACTAGTAATAAATATGTCAAGCAATCAGGGGTTTCATTAATGTTTTCAGTAGTAGGGCAACTGGTTTTCACAGGTGGGCCAAACTTTTTGAACTAAACTTCTTTATAAGATAAACTTTCCTCCAGATGGTCAAACCAGGTGGGTAAAACTGTCCTCCCAACCAGTCAATTTGGCCTCTAATGAAACCTCTGAGGAATATTTACAGCTAAGTGCCATAAGGATTCTATAACCTGACACACAGCTGCTGCAATAATATCAACAGGAAACAAAAGCCTTTTTTTTTTTTTCACACGAGTACTACTGACAGCATTCATGCCGATAGGAGTGGCATTAGTGAAATGTCATGCAATCCAACATGGCAGCATGTACAAAATTTTCTCTTTCAGAAGTTAATTGAGGTTTCCTTACCATGATCGGAAAAATGGAAACAGGAGAACTCTTACAGCTCCTTTCTGTGCGACAGCAAACCAACTATGGACTGGCTTTGTCTTGGGAAAGGTCGAACCTAGGCAATCATTACAATGCTTGAGAATGAAAAACTCTGTAACAATTGCTGAGTAAAAGGTTATGTCCACTCTATTACAAAAGTTGGTTTATACATTGTACTCTTTTGTTCCATAGCAAAACTGAAAAAAACCTCCTAGCAGATACTGCAGGCATTAATTGAAGTATCAGTCTAATGACAGTTGGATGCTGTAGAGCTGAGAAGATCATATTCATATTGACTGAGTAGAACAGCCTGACAGATAAAAAAATTCTGGATTAATGTCATGATGCAAGGACCAAGCTCAGGGAGATCTGAGCATCAAGACCAAGAACCAGATATGTCCCTCACCAGCACTACTCAACTCAGTCTATAAGTATTTGGTCAAGTGGCCATTGCTCTGACTTTCGTTTTCTTCTTTTCTTCTCTCAGCTTACACATGCAAGGCCATATGGGTTTTCCCAGCCCTGCTTGTGCCATGTGACACTCGCATAACGATCTTTGTCTAATCTTTTTCAATGATAGCATATTCATGGCTGTACATGTCACATTATAAATGTGTGTACGATGACTGACTTTGTAACTATAGCATATGCAACCTCTGCGGACCGATAAATTGTACATCAATGAGAACCACTCCTCCCCTGACAATCAAGTACTGACCAAGAAATGTCAAAAAAGCAACAAAAAAACATACTTGTCTAACAATATCAATTATAACATAACCAAAGTAAAGCGTGCCCTCTGATTGGTCAATTTAGCGTCCCCCATTTGCCCATGGGTGTACGCTGCTGACGTGAGCAAATGCAAAGACTATTTTTACGCGCGTGCTTGTTTTTTCTGGTCGCGTAAGATTTGTTCAATAAAAGGGAACTCTTTAGCTACAATGTATCAATGTTATGTTATAAAACAAATGGTAAACACCACAGCGTACACTATTGAGTTATGGATGCACTTGGGAGGTTTGCTAAGCACTCAAGAAGCTAGAGTCGCTCTCGGCTATTGTCTCGAGCATAATTAATAGAGGTCCCCTCTATTAACTATATCTCGAGCGACTCTTACGCTTCTTTCGTGCTTAGCAACCTCCCGCATGCATCCATAACTCAATAGTGTACGCTGTGGTGTTTACCATTTGTTAAAATTCATAACATTCAATATAATTATAACAAATTACATACCAATGACCAGATCAACATCTATGAGTTCGGGTTTTAAACCACCAGGCTTCTTAAGAACATGGATAAAGGTACCCTGTTGGTGAGATAAGACATGAATGACAGCAAAAGTGAAGCAGGGTACCTGAATTAAAACACAAAGTTTTCGAGGTGATTTCCTTTGCCCTAGTCAACTTCATTAAATTTGATAACCTTGAATTGTAGTAACAGCTCAATTCAGTGAGCCAGTCAGGAAGTCACCTGTTATATAATTATATTGACAGACTACTTTCATAAATGGCTGCCAGATTAATATTCTTTTGTTTAAATTTAAATTAGCCATTCTGGCCTTGCTTGAGATAATATATTCTTTTGAATTTTGTACTGGAGAATGAGGCCAGAGGAGCTAATTTAAATTTAAACAAAAGAATATTAATCCAGCAGCCATTTATGAAAGTGGTCTATTACAGTTACCGTAATTGAGCCTTAATTGCTTATAAATTAAGTTATTAATCCTTTCACTTCCAAAACTGACCAAGAAATAATTTCTCCTTACAGAATCCATACAATGTAAAGCAAATGAGTGACGCAAATAGCAAGAATGCTTATTAGGGGATTGTTGGTTGATCCAAACCCAAATTCTCAGAACGAACTTTGTAAGAAATGTATGGCAAACAGTTAGGAGAATTTTCATTCAGATATTGAGAGTCAAAGGGTTACCAGGTGTATTTACCGTCTCTTGTTCTTGCTCTTCAAATGTTCTTTCCCATGAAGCTTTATCATATTTTCCAAGCTAAAAATACATAGATAACAATACTTCAAAAAACAAGCAAGTAAAAAAAGGATAAAAACCAAAAGATGAAAGAAAGGTTTTCAAAGTGTTGTACCTGTAGTAAAATGAGAGGCTAAAAAAAGTTTTTCAAGGTCTTGTACAGTAAAATCAGAGGCAACAAAAGACTTTCAAGGTCTTTTGCAATAAAATCAGAGGCAACAAAGGACTTTCAAGGTCCTTTACAGTAAAATCAGAGGCAACTTACGACTTTCAAGGTCTTTTACAGTAAAATCAGAGGCAACAAAGGACTTTCAAGGCCTCATAGGGTAAAATCAGAAGCAACTTAGGAATTTCAAGGTCTTTTATACAAAAATTAGAGGCAACAAAGACTCTCAGGTTCTTATGCAGTAAAAATCAGAGGCAACTAAAGACTTTCAAGGTCTTGTACAGTTAAATCAGAGGGAACTGCACAAGATTTCTTTTCGATGGAGAATAGAATTGTGTGAAAATTGATGGTGGGTTATAAATTCAATAACAACTAAAAAAACAGCACTGAGATTAGCAGTATTACTCTTTTCACCAAGTTGCATTTGGATATAAAATTGAATTGATGGTTGTAGAGGGTTACAGAAACAGGTGGAGCTCAAACTCTAATTAACTAAGAACATGAGTTAATATTCTGCTTTGAGGTTTTTGAGAAAGGTGTTCTCATTATATTGTGGGCAAGTTTATGATCAGAAATAGAATATATTGAAAACTGAATTAACATTTTGAAGCCAAAATTAGTATTGTTTTTAAAAAAAAAATGGAAAACAGGTCTGCAAAACATAATTACAGGACCTTAATTTAAAATTTGGGGACCAATGAATAAACAAATGGATAAAACCAAACTGTCACACTGGATGTCTTGAAACAGCATGGTCGGTGTCAAGCTATCTCCAGTGACCAACTTTAATTATTCAGTTACCCAGAAAACCACAGCTTTCACCAGATCTAATCCCATTTAACCAATGCTTTCACACTGGCTGTATTGGTAAACAATTTCTGCTAATCTGTGAGTAATCAAACATCCAGATGCCGGTTTTCGCGAAATAATATTGATTAAACAAAAAAAAAGACCCTTTCGAATTAAAAATATATTTTCATTTTCCCCAGTGAAATATTACCAATATAAGGCTAACTCACAAAGTTTCTTGCCCGAGGAACAAATTAATCGCCAAGAAATAAGCTTGAGCGTTTTACCCAAGAATATCACCGGTTAAAACAAAGACGAAACAAAGTCAGGTGAGAAAAAGCTCGCAGTTCAATCTTCTCAGATAATCAGCACAGCTAAAAAGTTGACTATTTACCGTAGTGATCGACGTCTATCGTTGCAAAACAAAACCAAACTCAGAGGTGGCAATGCGGGAGGCGGTTCAAAAAAAATTTCTTTTAAACTACATAAGCCAAGCTCGATATCAGCCGATTGATTTGAGCCCGAAATTGATTTAAAGGTAAACCTTGATTCCTAGAATCAAACCTATATTTTTTGTACGTGGAGTATATCATCACTAAAGTTTTTGAAGCCGAAAGGAAAGAGATCTTAATTGGAGGATAATATATCCAATATGAAGCGATGAAAATGGCCTAATAAACAGCACAGAGAAACTCTCGTCGCTTTTCGTCGGGCCTTCACAATTTCACAAGTGCTTTATGCAAATCAAATAAAGTTGAAACTATACACTTCTTGCTCCAACCCGAATTCAGCTGTTTAGCAAAGGAAAGGACTTTTTCGTTTCAGTATTCAAAAGAAATACGCTTACAATAAAGCAAAGAATAGAGGGTACTTCGTGCAAGATGAAAAAATATTCCTAATTGAATCTTTTTCACAAACAGTAACCGAAAAATTTGAGAATTGCGCGCAGTGTAAATAACAAGGGGGAAATCACTTGACTCCCTTTGGAATTATCCTTTTTTGTTCATGTATCAAGACGAATCTTACCTTTCGTTGAAACCAGGAAATGCTCTGGTCAAAAGCCATTCAACTCTCGAATGGCCGAGAGAAGCTTGCCGGTCGCACTCTGTCAAAACTACGGCTGATATATTGTGTGCCTCAAAACCCGCGTGTTGAAATAAGATATCGCTCGGAGAAGCAAATCCCTGATGGCAGCTGCGTTGGAACTGAAGCTGAGGTGGAACTGTTCTAAGAAGTTAGCGGTCAGATACAGCACAGATATAAAGTTTGAGTCTACTACAATTTCTTGCCGTAGTCCAGTGGTAAGAACTGTTTTTACGCTCCACGGAGATCCGCGCAACTCTTGCCTTTTGTCGCGGGCTCAATGAAAACTTTGTAGTAGAACCCAGGGTTCACTCAAATTTTCAAATGTTTCACCCAGACTAGACTAGTGTCTTGCTCGAAGTAACGCTCGCCTGAATGCAATCAACTGAATGAAATTCTATTTTGCACCTTCGATACTTCTTTCAAGGGCAGCAGAATGATACCTTTTTTCTCTTTCTTGAAGATGGCTGTACACTGTCTATATCTTGCTTCCGGTCATCTTGACCCAACTCAATATTGGCTATTCCCGGATATGAATTCTTGATAGCGGCATTACAAACACGAGCCAATATTACTGATAAAGATCATACTATCAAATTAACTTTTAAGATTTTTTTTCTTAAATCAACGCTTTATTCCTCATTTCAATGATGGAACATGTCGTGTTTTTTTTTATTTTTTTTTTTATTTAATTATCTTCAATATTAAGCATTTGTGGTCGTTTGGCTGAAATCCATATTATCCTGTTCAAGATTGTCACATGAGAGCATTAAAGCTTTCCATCGGAAGTTTGTGACATTGAATTCGCTTGAAAACGCATACATTTTATATTTCCCGAAATAAAAAGACAAGAAATCCTTGCTGCGCCTGGTTGAAATATTTTCTGGCACCCTGTGACAATAACGCGCGCGAACGTAAACATTTCCCAGAGATCCCGACGTGACCATTTCCCAGAATTCCCAGCGTAATGTTTCCTGGAGATCCAAACGAGAACGCTTCCCAAAGTCCACGCCGGACTGGGATATTTTTTGGCAGATTTTTATTTTTTCATGGAAAAGAGTAGGTCATGAAAGAGGGACTGCGCCTGTGCCTTCTTGACGTCTATTTCGGAGTAAACCCAGATAAACCTTTACGATTTGTCAATTGATTTGTCACGCAAAGGCATGAATTTTCCAAACATTTTAGATGGACTAATCTCTCTTTCCATTTAGCCCAGGATTATATTGCGTACGCAAAGACATATCACACAAGCAACAATTTATTTCTCTGTTTCCACACACGTCAGTTGCATTTCGTATATATATATATATTAACAGCGCCATAAAAATGAGATTCTAGTACCTTTTATCTCTTCAAGTAAAATACCTTTATGATTGAATTGGGAACACCAACGTATAACTAAAACTACTTTGATGGTACACTTCCTTTAAAATAGATACACAGCCTTTTTCTGCATAAAATATATCTAACGAAAGATTTTAATTTCTAATCCTTGTAATGCTAGGGGACTAAGTTTTGGGTTAGGTTACTCTCTCTGCCAAACTACTTACTCAAGCCATTTCACCATAGCGTGTGTGTTGCTGAGTAACAGCCGTCGTAACAAATGAAAATACCTCAGTCATACGGAGATTCTCTGTCATAGCTCTAAGCCCTTATTCTTTCTTTGAATGTGCGTTTTCTTTCACTGACAATGACTTAAACATACTTTTCTCTCGAGGGTCATTTTGTTGCAGTTAGACGAATGACCGGGTTTTTTTTTATTGGCAAGGTAAATCTGAGTCTTCAGTCTTTCAATCCTCGTAAAATTCATATCTGACAGCCCCACAACACCGCTTGAAGCCTAAGTCCATTTTACAGTCGCGTGCTTGGTTGCCAAGCCTTTGATCTGGAATGAGGCTAAGGTTGACTTTGTTATGATACAAACGTTGCTGCTTTTCAACTGTAAATTACTTTGTTATCGTGCCAACTAGTTACTGGTCTCCATCACAACAAGGTCACCTTCAGCCTCACTCCGAATCAAAGGCTTGGAAACTAAGTACACAACTGTAAAATGGCCTATTCTATCGAGCTGGACGTCAGTACTGAGCAAAGGCGCACCCACCCGTTACCCAAAAATGTCAACTAATCCCAAGTTAAGGTTGATGTTTGTTTAGGGAGGGGTAGGTTAGCAGTTGCTCAAATACTAACAAAGATTCGTTTTCTCGAAGACCATTCAAAACGTCGAACTAAACTTTCTAAGCTCACAAATGACGTCACACCCTTTAATGAGATCCTTTTTAGACAAATCCACCACAGCAATTCCAATAAGTCGATGTCGCGCTCGTCCAATCGCAAATCCACGGTCACTTTTCACTGCGACATCGATCTGCATCGTGCGCAGTTGATCTAGGCCAATCATGTATTCAAAGGTTTCGTTAAACACTCCTTCCAAGGTTCTATTCAGCACTGTGGTGACTCGCCGGGAGCGTTTGGAGCGGTCTGGTAACAAGTACAGGCGGACCAATGGATTGGTCTTGCTGGGCGGGTCGCGAGACACGAGGGATCGAACACTTTTGACGGTGACGGAGAGGCAGTTCTTCAGATGACTGTACCTAGGAAGTCAATAAACGCACTGATTTTATTTGTCGCATCCAGCTCATTGAAAATCACTCACTAATTTCACTAAAGAAACATCCGTCACGATCGTGAAGTACTCTTGACACTTAATTATAAATTCCTCCAACTTTTAAACGTACCCCTAGACTTGTCACTTACTTCAAGTGCAAATCCAGTTGCCCCTTATTAGTCAGGTCGTCATTGGAATCCGTACGATGGCTCTCAGTGCCATAAACACTTCCGTCATAAACGCTTCCCACGTCAGAATCTTTGTCGCGTTCTTCCCCTACTTCCGATTGTTCCTCGGGACTAACTCCATTAATGACAAGTTTTGGTATTGGAGTTGAGTGAGCCAAGGGAATCACTGGTTTCTTGAGTCCGGCATCAACTTCAGCGTCATACCTACGATGGTGAGACTGGGTTCATGAGGCGATCAAACATCAAAATTTCTTTAAAAAAATTCATAAGACGGCCACTATCAGTCGAGAGTCCTGCCTCGGGTGTCCCGCGGGCAGGAACTTGTGTTCATTCTGAGAAAACTCAATTCTCCGGAATTTACGAGCTTTTCACTAGCGGGAGTGACCAAGAGAATCCCGAAAAAAATTATGAAATAAAAAGAAAATAGGCCATTTCCGAATTACATTTGGCCTCTCTTTCAAAACGAGGCCTGGTGCTCAACCATACGTACGAATATGAGTTTAATTTGCGTGTGAATGAAAACTTATTACCATACGAGAAGATGAGCACAAGGACTCGCTTTGAAAACGAGGCTTTAAGGCAATTCAGAAATGGGCTATTATCAGCTAGGAACGACATATCTAAATGTATTTCGCAGACAGAGCGGGACTTTTTGCAATCGAGATCTTAGGAACAAAAAAGGGTAACCCGTGATTTCATTCTCAAGATCTGCAAGCTTATTTCTCCAAACAGATGGAGATACATATGTTTATTGGCCAGTTTTAAGAAAGGTTGATTATTCTCTCAATTCTCATTAATACCTGTTTGTTTGAAACTGTATTATACTTTCACGCAAACTTTGCAAGTACTGTTTGTTCCAAGTGTGAAAGGCTTGACCCCTTTTGATACACAGTTTAATCTGTTCAATCCCAAGTTTCAATTGTTAATTCTCCCCTCTAACTGCTACACACTTCTCTGTAAACTAGTAACGGGAATTTGGTGTTAGATCAATATAACCATCTACCTGTTGAGTCTAAGCACTATAGGGAGAAGTTACAAGTTGATCACCTCTGAGAGGTAAAGAGTGAAAACACTTACGTTGGTAGAAGCTTGCATGAAGATTTGTGGCAGGCGATGAGCCCAGCGAAAGCGCGTGTTGCAACGGACGAAGAAGGATTGGCCTGTGCTAGACTATTGGTCAGTGCAAACGAGCATAAAAGCGGCCGCACGAAAAATGGCGAGGGCCAGGCAAAGAAAGAAAAAAACCTAAGCTGTTTCCTTTCACTCGCCTTCTTTAGCCGAGGACCTGTATATGTTTAAGGTGCCACACAAGAGGAGTGGGTCGAGGACAAGAGATCGAGACTCGATAGTTTGGCTTCCAAAAAGAATTTTTCAAAACGATCACTTGTATTTCTTTTTCTAACCGAAGTTCTTGGAAAGTCACAATCCACATACAGAAATAAATTTTGGCGGGAGCTTATCAGAAGACAGCAAAAGCCAAACAGAACAGTTAAAACCAGGAAGTAGATGAATTCCTGCGCCTTTTTCATTCATTTTTCGCCGAAAGCTTCCATCTTCTGTACTCGACAAGTATTTTTAGTTCGGTTCCAAAAAAAATCCAACGTGGGCCATTACTCACGAGAATTTTCCACAATTTGTGTGCGTCTTACAGTTTTCAATCGCAATAATCATGCCGACCGTAAACTTTTGCAAAGGGGCAACAAAAGCTTCCCAACAAGGCCGAAGCCTTAACGAGATAAGGGCGAGTCGCGTAAAGGGAATTAAAGTATAACGGGATATCCCGCATGACACTCGCATCTCCTCTAAACGCAAATGGTCAAGTTTACACGTGCAAGGTATAACCATGGTCACGTGACGAGCATGTTGATTAGTAAATGTAGTATTTGCACTACAAAAAAAGTCGCACCTAGACTAATTTGACAACAAAATAATCATGCTTGCCGAGCGTAAGGTGTTACACTTCATGTGGAGAAATATAAGGGTTAATTAAAGCTAAGCGAATTAGCGACCGAAAAATCACAGACACAAGGACCAACTAAACAAAAAACGCAAACCCACATTTAATGAGCTCTTTTGCCACAGAGAGGTTACATTACAGAGTATTCAGTTGGTGGTCATGCAAAATGTTAGCGCTTTACGGTTGTTTACAAATACTTTTTTTCAGCTGAAGAAAGAGTGAAAACTAGGTTGATATCCACAAGACAGCCAGGCGGCAAATACCTGAAAAAGTCTGAAATACTATCAAAAAATCGACCTGCTCAAAAATATATCTACGAGACTACGAATGAAAATGACAGAGGAGTAGAAAAATAAATTTAATTCTGGTTGAACCATGGAGTAAACTAGCTTTCTCACTCCCAAGATTTTTTGTTAGTTTAAAAAATATATCCCTTTGTTGGCTTGTCGTGAGAACTTGAAGTAATATCAAGACAATTTTCCGTAGTTTGATTTGATCAAACATTCTCATCACAGATTTGCTCGACATTATAACACCAATGTAAGGAGAGTTTCCCCAGTGATCATTTCCTGGGAGTGAAAAGGTTAGATGAAGTCTTCGTTATCACATGGATGTCTTGTGGGAATGTCAACGCAAGAAAGTTCCAATCGTTTTGGAAACCGTCAATGTCACGCAACACTTGCAGGACATTGCGTGACATGCTGCATGGAAATACCCGATCATCACAAAACAGCGAAGATCTCGAGCAGTTCTGCTAGATTTGCGTTTAACACAATTTTATGTTTTTGGAATAATTACAGGTGCAAACATTTCCTTGTAGTGCAAAACCTACATCTAAATTTCTGAAACACACCTCAATGTGGAATGACATCTTTTAACCTTTAGGTGAAGTAACCCCCTTACAGCTATTTATACCCGAAATCGATCCAGCTTTAAATTATAATTTCTCCATACAACATCGTAACTTCTCAAAAGGAAACTGAACAGAGTTGTCTTGATGAACTACAAAATTCTAAAATCTACCATCACACGTATGGTGATTATTTGGCATTTCAGTCTAAAAAAAAAAACCAAAACACTATTCCATATAAGATAGTAGGTCAGAATTTCTGTCCATCATTCAAAATTGTTAACCCATTGACTCCCAGAAGTGATAAACATGTAACTTCTCCCTACAATATCCATACATTATCCGGAAAATAGATAGTGAGAATACTCAAACTTATCAGGTAGAAATTGTTACCTTGATTGAACAGCGAATTCTCATAACCAGTTTACAAGGAAATGTATAGCAGCTAGAGGGGAGAATTCATAATCAGTTCTTGGGGAGTTAAGTGGTTAAATATAGATTGACTAATCCCTATCTCTTAAATAAGAGCCCAAAACACCGTCACCAAATTTTGATTAGAAAAATATAACCTTATTCAAATGAAAACAAATACTTATCAGTCCTTTTCTTTTTTCCAGTTGTACATAGCATACGAAGAAATTTTAAAGTTCCAACATTGAATTACCTCGTTTCAGGCTCGCTCGGTTTAACATCCGGGGTGTTCAGAACCCTCAAGGTAAAGCGGCAGGTTAAGGTGCTCTTCTCCCCAGACTCCTTCAAGGGGAAGGTTTCTTCTACGGTCATACCATCTTTGTTCAGCAGCTTGCAGATATCGAACGACATTTTACCCAACGTGTGGGTGCCCTTGGCTTCGATCACCTCAACCTCAGCTACTTGGCCTCCAGGGTCGCCAACAAGGAAACGCAATGCATGTTTCCATTCAGTTTTTTCTCCATAGCACTGGAAGGTTTGCAGGGTGGTCTTGCCAACTGTGATCTCGCAGTAAACACTCCTCAGAGCTTCCTTCTGACCACTGGTGAGAGGTAGGGCGTGGGCAGAGATGGGCTTCACGATGAGCGCTGCTACAGAGAGGCCCTTCCCTTGCGGGGGTTCCAAATTTGATGCATTGGCACTGAGCGAGAACCAGGTCAGCTGTAAGTGAACGCTTCCTTGTTTGACACCCTCCAGCGGCAGCCAGAGGTCCCGATTGCCTGTCTCCACCGCAGAAGCAATGTCGGTGTCGAGTCGTCCAATCTTGCTGTCCTTAGAGGATGTGTCTTCATCGTATATTACAGCTTCAAGCTCTTGCCCCTCACTATTATCCACAAATGCTTCAAAGGTTTCGTTCCACTCTGGATTTAGATCGTTCGAGATCACCTCGGTGCGGAAGCTTTGAGCACCGATGCGAATTATGGCATAAGGATCCGACTTTCCCTTCTTCACGAGGCCGATATCTTTCGCTATCAGGTTCTTCGCCTCCACGACTTTTACACGAAGGACTCCCTCAGGAATCGGATACTGAAGATCACTGGCGTCGACACCCGTAGCGAGGGGAACGGCGATGCGGTTCGGAAGCACTACGAAGGAGGCGATGACGTCATCTGTGATTCGGCGCAAAGAGCTTTTGAGCCCAGGAAGATCCAGAACATTCAACAAATTGGTTAGATCGAATTTTAGCTTGGGTCTGTTTAAGAAAAACACTGTAACGCCTCCAATAGGGTTGTATTCGGCAACCAACGGCTTGAAAATGACCCTTAGGACTCCACGCAGTTCGATGTTGGACAGGCCCAGTTTAAATTTCTTGACTGCAAGCTTGATTGTGGCGTCGCCATTGTACACAATATCCATATCGAAAATAAACTCTGATTTCCTGTCTTCCTTGCTGGGATACGACTTCACATTTGCTACGTAAGGTGGCTTGTTCCCGAGGTCGATTGTTTCGAAGTAGAGCGTGTTCAGAGCTTTCGGCATGTTCTTCTGCATCTCGGGTTCGACACTTTCTTTCAGAATTTTGTACACCATGCCGTCTACGTAGGGCCACATTTGATCAATGATGCTGTTGATCCATTCTGCTTGCTCTTTTTCCGGAAAATAGACCCAAGAGGGAAGATTCTGTATCTTGTCGATAAAGGAGGACTTCAGAGCTTTTTCCATGCGATCCCTGCGCTTTTTCTTATCATCCATTTGATATTCCCAGCTGACAAACAACACGAGAATCATGATGATCCATGCGAAGCTGAAATGAAAATGGCCGACCAGAAAAAGAGAGAGCGTGACAGCAAAATAAAGGAGCAATTCTTTAATCTCGTCGCGTGAAATATTCTTCAAGTTGTGCAGAATTCGCTTGTAGGGAGGCTTCGGAGCGGTTACTGTTGTCGAAGTTGTGTCCGCCATGGCCCAAATCAAACGTTAAACAACAATTTGATGTCAGCTCGAGTGCTACTCGGGATGGAAAGTTCTCGTGCAATCTAAATCACGGGCCTGCTATCTCTCTGGCTCCTGGGGTGAGACTTTTACGAATGATTCTTGAGGTTTGATTGAACAAATTTAACCACAAACCCGTCAGATAAGGCCAAAAAGAGACGCAAAATTCCTTTCCAAGCAAAACACGAGCAAAAGATTTGGCTCAAGTCTTATACGCCCAGACGAAAAATACCATGCATGGATGGATATTTATATCCTATTCAAAGGTCATTAAGATTCAATTTCGTTGTTGCGTGAAATAAACAGCTAATAAGCCAATCAGCTTTGTTTAAAAGTCCGGGCTAATTATTCCGTAGTGACACGTATGTTTGTGAATTTGAATACCCGAGAATCCGACTGTCAACTACGACAAGCATCAAAGCGCGTCGTAATATTTTTATAAGTATCCTTGCGAATATCTCGTATATTTTCACAATCACGCGATTTTAGGTTTCTTGAAGTGCCAAATGCAAGCACTTTCATAAAAGTTGAATAAGAAAAATTCGGGTAAAAACATAATACGGTAGTTCATAACGATACGACTTGTTGATAGGTTGACTACGCTTGTTCTCAGTTTCAAAAGCGCCCTTCTTTTAGAGAAACAATGGCGAAATCATGGTTCATTGTGCAAAATGTCCATGCACATCGATAACGGCGTGGAAATGATGATATGTGATTAACAGACTCCGCTGAAAAGACAGTCGTGCCGGGCTCACGTATGTAAATATGCTCTTGTGTGCCGAAGCGTGACAAAATAGTGCGCTGTGGGGGAGGGCGAGAGGAGAAGTTTTAATGTCTTCATCAAACCAGATATAAACTTAATTTAACAAGTCAGTAAGGCGAAAGGGTAATGTATAGAAAGGAACCATTTAAATCGTTGCAAAATGGCTCAAGAAAAAAGGTTGAACAGTAGATTAATACGACTTTATAGGTGTAGTTGGAAAGATACTTAATCAGTAGAATAGTCTAAAAATGTTGTTTGCACTCACAGGCACAAGTTACGCCTAAGCAAAGGCCCATCACACGGGGAATTTTGCTCTCGGCGTAAGCTCTATTGTCATTTCGCACGACAAGTACAAACGAGAATAGGTTTGAACGTTTTAAATGTCGTGGAGCTTTATGCGGGCAGGTGGCAATTCTGCTAGCAGGGCTGAATTGTACTCATAAAATCGTTTGTTCTGACGGAAGAGCTTTCTGGCGTCTGTGAGCGTGCCCCCGGACGAACGAACAAAACTAATAGAATAATAGAGTAAAAGGATTGGGTGGAACCCAATTTGGTCGTAATCATACGAGTGATTAACAAAATTAAACTTCGACCGCAAAGCGGAAGTCTAGTTCACGATTAATCACGGGCACGATTATCGAAGGAGTTGGCCGACACGAAATACTGTTACCAATTAATCAAAACTATGACAAAATTTGAGAATTAAACAGACTTGCCATGGTTGTATTTAGGTTTTTTTCACAGACGACAGTTAACTCAGCAAAATACACGACAACAGGGCATAACTGTCCTACCTCCTGCAGGGCTCCAAACGGGGCAGTGGTGATAACCAATCACGTTCGAGAACTTTTCTACAGTTTTGATTAACTGCAGTAGTGGCAAGTGATACGAGGATAGCAGACAAAAAAAGGTTCTGCTATTTCATTCTCCCCTTGTGCTATCAAAAACCGATCTCGAAAAACTCTTACAAAAAACAAGTCTTTTTCGAGACGACGTCTAAAAGGCTAGTGGGTCTGCAGATCGGTTTTACATTTCATCAGGGCCGGCCTTACAAAAAAAAAATGACCTGATCATGAGTGACAACTTTCTGAAATAATGTATAATTTTATGATTTATTAGTTTCATTGTAGAAGAGAGAAGCAAGATTATTGATTCATAATTTTGGCCCTTTTGTCGGCTTTTGGTAAACAGTAGATCGGAAATGATCTGCTATACTACCGGATAGAGGGAGAGGTTAAGGAATAAAGATTAGACGGGTAGTTGAAACTCACAGCGGCTTATTCAAAATTTTTTGGACCTTTAAGAGTTCCATTTAAGCCAGATTTTGAAATACGCTCTAAAAACCTTTTCAGGAAACAAGCCCAGGATAGTGCTTCAATAAAAACTGCTTACTGGCCCTACATAACAGGTCTAATTTTTTTGCGTTTTAACAGCGAACGAAGCCAAGCGCTGGGCGAGCGCGTGGCGCGAAATATACCTGTAACTGTAACTTTACGACAAATATTGATATTCTAGAACAAGAATTGACGACACGTTTTCCTTGCTAAATCACTCAACACAGCGCGACGCCGTTCTCGACCCAGTTTCTTATCGTTATATTTGCCGTCCTGAAATGACATTCCCATCCTCTTGTTCATCTCTCTAATATATTTTTCTTATATTTATGGTTTTTTTCCGTTATTTCCCTCGCGAGTGGCTCGCGTGTAACTCACACTTAGCGCACCTCGCCTCGCACTTGCGTCAGTTCGATTGAAAAGCGTCAATAAACTTACACATGATGTGCAGGTTACCAGTTACCGGACCAGCGGTCTACCACTACCTAAAAGACCTCGCACCGCTGTATGTTTGGTCTGCGAGCGGGCTCACCTGTTTGGATTTTGTCTTGCGCTCTTTTTCGATCCGGACACGGCCCCCAATTACACAACCACTTATCATGAAAAAGTTATTGAAAACCATATTGATGTAGCTGATGTAGCACGATCGAAAATGTCTAGATTAATCAGTAATGCTAGTTGGATGGAATTTCGTTTTGTCTGGAAGCGGAAAAAGTGTAATAGAGGTATTCATGAGCTGCCAGACATAGGCACCGAATTAATAGCAAAGGAGTGAATAAAAGAGGCAGGCGCTCGCCTAAATTTGGAAGTCAAACAACAATAAAAAGCGGAACATGTTAGAGAGGAAACGAACACGATATCCTGAAATCTATCGCTAAGACAATGTTGGTGCCTTTTGCTTATTCTGCGCTCTTTGGTGACCGTAAGGAACACGGAAAAAAGCAAAACATCTGGACCTTGAAATACGATTAAATAAAGACAAAAACCAAAATTGGAAGAAACATTCCAAACAACCTGTTCTTTTTAGAAGCTCCCATCCAAACAAACACATGTAGTATTTTCATGTCATATATTTACGTTGTCACAAAATTGTCTTTTTATAAAGGATCCTCGCTTCATCTTAAGAGAGTGAGTCCTTAAAACAATCAAACTCAAAGAAGAAGACGCTGATTAAAAATTCATGATCAAGAATGGCTAAAGAAATTAAAATAGCTCGCAGATCTGCATAAGCTCCTAATAGATGATTGTGGTCAGAGATCGATCAACAGATTGAAAACTATCCTTGATTGGCTGAATCGATGGAGAAAAGCTTCCGCACACAAAAGATAGCAAGTTGGGGGTTTCTTAAAAACAGGCATGTGGACACGTGCTTGCAAATATACACAAAGTAATGTAGACAACTGGAATAGATGCAAATGCACATATAAGCCTAACAAGAATTGATCACAAGTCACTTGTACGCCAGTAAACAGATCTCTTCGGATTATTGGTCAGAGTTTTAACGAAAATATTGGCATAACTCGGTAAGTCGTTTTTGATCAGTTTGGCGATTTTGATTTTCCGAATGAGATGATTTTTTTTATTCTCTAGCTTGCTCGAAAAATATTTTACAGAAAAATATTATACAGAAAACTGTGGCCGTTTCGTTTTCCCGTCGCCGATCTCTATGTTTCCTGCCTCCTTCTTGCTTCAAAAAATATACATTAGTATCGATATATTTTTATTCAACAGGAATTCCAAACATATCGTCGATAGACGCGATATGGAACAACAACAAGACAAGAATACTGCATCGCAAATGTTTCAAGCGTTTGTAGGGATCGATCGGAGACAAATAATCATTCATTTTCTCGTCGCTTCCATGCTGTGGTTGTTTGGATGGTGGAATATTAGCTTCGCATGGGTAATTATGTTTGTTTTGATCTATGTTTTTGGAGAATATCGTTCAGAAGTTTCTAAACGGAAGCGTAAAAACTTCCGCAAGATGACAGATGAAGCGAACCTGTCCAAGATAAAAAGTTTTCCAATACCATCCGTTTATCTGTCAGAGACGGAAAGCTCGACATGGCTTAACGAGTTTATTAAAAAACTGTGGCCTTCTATCGAGGGAATGACAAAGAATATTATTAAGGAACGTGTGGAGCCCGAAATACAGAAAAACCTTCCTTCGGCTTTTAAGACTCTTTCCTTCGACAAGATCGAGTTGGGGCAAAAACCTCCCTTCGTCGGAAACATAAAATCGTATGCAAGTGGAAATGGAGAAAAGAGAGCTTCTGAATTTATAATGGACGCCGATGTTACGTACAATGGAGATGCACAGGTGAAAGTGACAGTTAAAAATGTAAATTTGGGAATCTCCGATTTTCAGATATACGGCTCGCTTCGAATTATCTTGAAACCTCTTCTGTCGAACCAGTCTATCGTTGGCGGTGTAACGCTATTTTTTCTCAAGAGGCCAAGAATCACCTTCAATTTGACAAACTTGTTGAATGTGTTAGATTTTCCCGGATTGAAGAAAACTTTGCGTGGCATCGTTGATGACGTCATCGCTAGTTTTGCCGTCTTGCCCAATAGGATTGCAATACCCTTGGCGGAGAGCGTGGACCTCAGCGATCTGCAGTACCCAATCCCTGAAGGTCTCCTACGTGTGCAAATTCTGGGAGCACGGGAACTGGTAAAGTCTGATTTTTCACTGATTGGTGGAGCTAGTCCTGACCCTTACGCCATCTTGGAAGTTGGTGCGCAAAAGTTTCGTACTGAAACGAAGAAAAATGCTTCAAATCCGGGGTGGGAGGAAACCTTTGAGTCATTTGTAGACAATTCCATGGGCCAGGAATTAGAAATTTACCTCTACGACCGGGATGTTGCTTCAAAAGATTCTAAAATTGGCAGTGTTGATATCAAAATCCGTTCCGTGGTGGAAGAAGGCGTCCAGGACATCTGGCTGCCTTTAGAAAAAGCCAAACAGGGAAAAATCCATTTGAACCTGGAATGGTTTTCTCTGAGCTGTGATCCACTGCATTTTAGATATACTAGGGAAAAGGAGACCGTAGCCGTGCTGTTTGTTAAGCTGATCAAAGCACAAAATCTTCCAAGCTCATCCAGTTCAGTGGTGACAAGAAAAGTTTTCTGTAAGGTATCCGTCGGAGATATAGCGTTGAACAGTTTTTTCGCGCACGGAGATGAAATGGTATGGGGGCAATCCTTGCGATTCCTTCTTACAGACCCCCATGAAGAGGCCCGTATTGAAGTTATGGAGGGTAATGACAACAAGAGCTTGGGATCTATGTTATTCGTCATTCGAAAGCTGATAGAGGAACCGGAAATGGCTCGACAAGACTCTTTCCGGCTGAATGGCGGGACCGGAAGTCTTGAGTGCAAGTTCATTCTCCGGGCGCTGAAGACTGCAGACACCTCTAACGCCCCAATGCCACTACAGTTTGGCCGAAAGTTCAACGCTTTTCACAACAATGGAATCTGTCTCCAGAGAGTGGACACGCCCACGATGTTACCAGACGTGAATGCTCAAGATGATCCATCTACCTCCGCTAGTACCGAGAGCGACAGCAGTAGAACCGCCGAGAAAACGTCTAGTAGCAGTTCCGGTTCCAGTTCCGGTTCATCTCCTAGTGGAAGCATTGCAGGTGACACGTCTAACGGGCAAAGTCCCGAGGCTTCGGTTAGGGATTATATGTCCCGAGGAGAAGTATCGCTGTGGCTTATATACGATCATCGTAGGAACAGACTGGTTGTCACTGTTCTTAGTGCAAAGGAGCTTGTGTCATCAGAGCCCGTGTCCAAAACGAATCCTTATATACAGCTAAATCTGCTTCCTTCTCGCTCCAAGAGATCGATTCGCAAGACGGATTCCTACGCCGGAAGTCTAAATCCCGTTTTTAACGACACTTTCGAATACGTTATCGGTCTTGACCAGTTATGCAATAAGTACTTGGAAGTGATCGTCAAAAACGAGAGATTTGTCCAGTTGCCAGGGAAAAGTAGAGATCTTATTGGGTCAACCTCAATTAACCTTTGCGAGCTGAGTCTGTCCGCCGGTGTGACAATGAACTGTGAGTTAACAAAGTGAGATTCTTAGCTTGTGCGCAATCCTTAGAAAACCCTAGTGGATGATGCCATCCGAATGGAAGCGAGGCTGAATACGTCACAACGAATACTATTCAAGTGTACTGGGGAGGAGTGAATAACTGTTAACAACAACACAAAATTTAAACAACTATAAACAAAAACAGAAATAGATTCTCTTATTTACATCCTAAAGTAGGTTCGTTGTTTATCGCCTTAAACAAGTTCACGGCACTCATCAGAGGTTGATTGATCTCTCGAATAATTTTTTCATCGTAGAAGAATACGAAAATAATGGTGTACTTTCAGAATTGAGCATAATTGGCTACCCTGTGTTGCCGGAATATTCCTGAGGTAATCATATCCACTATGTGAACGCGACCCTTGAAAATTAAAGAGGATGTGGAGAAATAGTTGCGCGTACGATACAAACGTTGACCCTTGCGATTACCCCAAATGTGGGTAACTCGAGCGTATAATTTCTGTTAGTGTTAGCGTTCTTTAGTGTTTTAATGACGGAATAAATGTACCTCTCAAGCCCTGTGTTAAGATCTGTTGCTCGTAATTTTACGAAAGTAAAGGGTCACCATTTCTTCATCCAAAAGACAAATTGACCTATACAGTCTTAAGCCTGGTTTTCACTAGCGACGCAAGCACAAGCGCAAGCACAAACGCAAACATAACATTGTGACCAAAAAGTAAACGGTAATCAAAGAGCCATTAGCTTGGAATTTCAGAAGAGAGACACTCTGGCTCTATCAAATAAAGCTTGTTATAAACTTCGGTTGATTTGTTTGGGCGTTCTAGAGCGAGAAAATGGGCAAATGTATGAGGGCTCGAATCAAAGTAGTTCGCGTAATGTGTCGGTGTTCTGGCACTTCAGAGGAGCGCAAACAAAAAGTTACTCTCCTTGGAACCGCTATAGTATTGGGGAAACAAAGTCTCAGTGAAAGTATAGTGGTTGCTCAAGAGAGGTGGAGCGAAATATCAAAGAACTGATGGAAGACAAGAATGAATCTATCCTGGGACATATGCAGAAGGTCATCCTCACGAGCTCCCGTCGTATCGTAAGAACATTTAAGCTGAGTCACTAGATATTACATATAAACAATGGAATTGAAATTGATTTCTGTAGAATACTATTGAACATTAAGACATTCAAAGTGTTTACAAACTTTTTTGTTTGTTTTTACCATCTGTATTTCTAATTGTTTATGTGGATCTTGGTCGACGCTGTGGCTGGCCACGGCTGATCGCCTAGCCATAGCTGTGGTTTTGTTTTTATTCTGGGCATCCAGATACAGATACTGCCAGATAATAGTAAAAACGATAATGATTAAACTAACAATAACAATAACAACGATAACGATTACGACACCAAGAGTGAAAATTACCGATGCGTTGATGAATTTCAAGCTTCAAAGTCACCCTTGGGCAACCCACGGGTTATGCATGTGAAATTAAATGTGACTTTTGCTGTAGCTTACCTACTAAGAAACAAAATCAACTATTTGGGATCTTTGGACTGCCTTAGAAGGTTTGCGTCTCTTTCCTGGTAATATCCCATTTAGAATGAACCACAACTGAAATGTCTGGACATCTTTGTAGAAAGCACTATAGAGCGTTTGCACATGACGTCACAAATTTCGCGGGAAAGTTGAGTCGCCATGTTGGTGTTCCACATTTTTCAACATGGCGGGATATCCTCTCTCAGATTATGCGAACACGCTCGATCCCCACGTGAAAAAACGTTATTTAGAGAAGATTTCTTGTGTTGGAATCGATCCTCTCTTGTTCTCAGACAAAAAATACGATCCAGAGTGCCTGCCTCTGGTCGAATCGATGGATTTATTGTTGTTTTTGGTGATTGACACGAGTTATTACAGTAAAGACTATTTTAAGGCGTATAGAAGTCTACAGAACATGGTTGTAAACATGAAAGTGTTGCTATTGAAACTTATGAAAAGATCATGAAGGAAAAGCACATCAACTTTCAGGTAACGAAATGTGGCACGTTTATCAATAAACAATATCCATGGTTACATGCCACACCTGACGTTTTGTGTAGGTGTGATTGCTGTGGGAATGGATGTGGGGAGGTCAAAAGCCCCTATTGTTTAAAGGATATAGACTTGGAGCTGTATANTCAATCAGGTTATTGGGGAATTTATTCAGATTCTGCATACTGGCAATGCCCACTGGGTATGTGTAAGCTCAGTAGGGTGTGAAGATGGCACTGTCAACCTGTATGACAGTTTGTATCATAACATTATTCTAAATGAAGTACAAGAGCAGGTACTCAATCTTGTTGGACGTTCAAATTTTACTAGCATTCAAGTTGTCCCTGTGCAACAACAGACAAATAGCAGTGACTGTGGAGTATTTGCTGCCACCTTTGCTACATGCCTTGCTTATGGTATACACCCTGAAACAATGCAATTTGATGTCCCTAAAATGAGAAACCATTTATATCAGTCTTTAAAATCTGGTGTATTGAAAATGTTTCCTAAATTTTAGACTGCTTAAGGTACATCTACAGTTAAAAAATTTTTGGAGAGAAAGAATACCCACTTTATTATAGTGAAAATAAAATAGTTGCCCGATGCAATGGACCTGCATACTTGAATGCTCAAGATGGAGGGTAGGGACCCAGTCTACGTTGAATCGATCCCAATCTTTCGCAGCTTCTTCTGAAACGAAATGCCGGCTGCAGACCCTATCGCGTTCTTAAATATCATCAGTTAAGTCATCTCTACTCATCGCACAGATCCACATTCTTCTTCGCTCAGAAGTAAGTTCTTCGGTGTACTCTCCTTGAGTATACTGAACACATGGGACACGAAAAAACATTACTTTTCGACGTTAGACCACTTCTTCCCTGTTTTGTTTCCACAGCTAATGACAAGGCAAAGGACTGTGATAACGAAAATATAAATATTACACGATTATCTTCTCAAAACCGTAAAATGTGCTCCAAATGTTTCCCGTCACAATTACTCAGAGCTGATTATCATGGAACACCAACATGGCGGATAAGTCGGTTACCATGATGATAAAGAAATTTGGTCAAGTGAGTGTAAAACGCTCTATTATTGTGTCACCCGAAAATACGGTGTGACGACCGAGTAGGACCCAGTCTACACTTGTTTGGTTTACTTTTGCCTCCCGAACCTGCTTCGTCACGATGGAGTCGAAGTTGACTTTCGTTTGTTTGTCGTTTACTTATTTCATACTTTCTCTCGGCTTCTGCTCATCAAAATACACTGCAGCAGTTTACGAACACGTCACGTTCTTCGTACTGGAAAACAAGACAGAGGTCACTCGATCTGGAGCTTTGGAAATCATGAAGAAAAATCTCGCTGTTTTCGAAACAAAGGCGGTCTTGGCGAAATCCACGGGTGCAGAGATCATAGTTTTCCCGGAAGATGGAATATATGGTTTTGATTACGCCCGTGAACAAATCCTTCCCTTCTTAGAAGTCATTCCAAATCCTTACCATTTGGAGAAGAGCTGGAATCCGTGTAAAGATCCTGGTCGCTTCAGTAACATTGAGGTGCTAAGAGAGTTGAGCTGCATTGCTCGTAATTCTTCTATTGCAGTGGTAGCCAACATGGGCGATGTGCAGTACTGTGATAAATCAGATCCTTACTGTCCCGGAGATGGCAGATACCAATTTAACACAGATGTTGTGTTTGATACAGATGGCACATTACTAGCAAAATATCACAAACAGCATCTGTATCACGAGAAAGCGTTCAACACTCCCCAAAAACCGGAAATCGTAATTTTTAAGACATCATTTGGAATCGAGTTTGGTGTGTTCACTTGCTTTGACATGGTTTACCACGATCCTGCAATTGAGTTGGTAGAGAAATACGGCATCCGGAACATTGTTTTTCCAACTGCTTGGATGGATGGCTTTCCTATCATGGCCTCAGTTGAGTATCAGCAAGCATGGTCTAGATTGACATGCGTCAATCTTTTAGCAGCGAATCAACATTTCCCTATCTTAGATATGGTGGGAAGTGGAATTTACTCTTGTGGCGATCCACTATCATATGTGTATGATATGAAGACTTACGAAGGGCACCTTCTTGTTGCACAGCTACCAGATTTGAATCATCAACCTCCAAAATGCAATCAACAGTCTTGTCTATCAGTCCCTCCTCTTTCAACACAAAATTATGATTTCAAACAAGGACGGCAAGAAGGAGTACCATTTTATTCCAAGTTGATGAATGACATGTACACTTTTGTCAAACTCAGCAGTGCTGTGGGTCAGGTCTCAGTCTGTGATAGTGAACTTTGTTGCCATGCAAGCTACATCACACAGAGCCAAAATCCTTTCAGTGATGAAATGTTTGCTTTGGGAGCTTTCAGTGGCCGCCATATCCCAGAGGGTTACATATTCCAGAATTGTGTTTTGATAAAATGCTTAAGTATGGTAGAGTCTTCCTGCGGCACTGCCACACAAACTTCGTCAACTGTATTCAAATCATTTCGTCTAATGGGGAACTTTTCAGCGAAGGCTTATGTTTTTCCAGCTGTTCTGGCTTCTAATGTGGAACTTATCCCAGCTAAGGCAATGTCAGTATCAGGAAATGTTATGAGTGTAGACTACTTTAACAAGCCTTTGGTCTCAGCTGTTCTTGTTGGTCGAGTTTTTGAAACTGATCATTTCAAAAATTGATAGCTATTTTTTATTTTTGCATTTGTTTCATTGAGTCTGCTCAATTGAAGCTTGGAAGGGGAAATACACAGGTTACAGCTGGAAATCATGAAATAATGCAGGATTTGTAGAGTGTGTTCACATTTTGAAGCTAAAGCAGGTCTATTTGGCAACAAATTATGTAGTCCAATTTTTTTCCAAAGCTTAGGAAATAACTTTGAATTGACTCAGATTAAGCATATGGTAAAATTAAGCATATTTTTTTTTTTTTAGGAGATAGTTATAAGTGCAAAAGAACTCACTTTTTCATGATATCAGAATTCACAGATATTCCACTTAATTTCAAATTCGAAGGTTAGAAACAATACATCTATTTTTCATTTTGAACTATTTAGTAGTTAAAAACTTGAAATTTAAATTTATTTGTAATGGCTGGGGAGATTCTTTTAATTAATAAAACCTATAATGGTAATCAGATACCATTAAAAACTTGGCAATCTGTATTTATTTAATTTTATACTAGTAAGTCTCCTTCCCGTCTGCCATGCAATTCTTTGAATGTTAGTTCAGAGAATTTGACATTAGATCAACCTATAATGGCCGAATTGAAATTTATCTTTATTCTCATCACTTGTCTGCTTGATATTGTATTGATATTGTCAGGAGAAATT